TAATAATGAACAGTCACTAGCCACTGACCCCTTACAATTTGCCAGGTACTATTCTAAGGGCATTGTATGTATTAGCTCACTTAATCTTTAGAACTTCCCAAAGAGTGGGGCTCTATTGTTGGCCCCATTTGACAGATGAGGACACTAAAGCCCTATAGAGGTTAAGTAGTCACTCAAGGCACATGACTGATGAGTATTGGAGCTGGGGGAAGTCTGATTCCATACACCATATCCTTAACTGACCGCTGGATCTTTTTATGGTTTTGTGAGCCAATGAGAGCTACACACATTCTTCAGATGGGAGAAGAAGCCTTGAGGCACACAGAAACCATGCCTGGATTTCACCCTCCCTGGGCTGACTCAAATTGTCTCAAACCTACTTGACTTAGGGGAAAAGTTCTTGGGAATAGAAGTAATCGGAGGGCTATTGCAGGGCTTGCAATGAAATGCCAGAAGCAAGACCAAGGCAGAGAGAATATATACATAAAATCAGGGGCCTAGAAAACATGTAATGGCTTTGAGATGTTTTCTTTGAAGTCCAGTGGCTAGAGGTTCAGAGCAGAATTTTCTATAACATGTTATCCATCTATCCGGAGAGTAAAATATTTTAGGCAGGCTTTCTCTCTGTATTTGAAAGGGAAAAAAATAGCCCAAAAGATAATAAAGACTTGAGTAAGAAAGTTTTTTCTTAAACTTCTTTCTGAATAGTTGACTATTCAATGTAGACATTGAAATTAACACTTGAGTTCTGAGATCATTTTTCTCTTGACATTATCTGCATTGTTACATTGAATAAACCCAGAGTAGGGTATCCTTCCTCTTGGTGCTTTGAATGCTGGATACCACTTACTTATGAATTCTTCAGTCCTGCTTATAGGAACCTGTTAGGACACCATGATTATCTGAACGGATTGCTCCTTGGAGATCCCACTAGCATTGAACATAAGAAATGGAAGGGGCAGGGCTGAGTACCCAAGTGCTCTTATTCCAGCCAGGAGCTCTTTTTTGGGTTCCCATCACTCCTCATGTGCTCTCCTTATTTCGTGTCGTATGCACCTCTAAACTGCCCAGATTTATTGGTGCCATGCAACTGTTCATTGAACATGGGTGATGGAGTTCCTTTTCATACAGGGGGAGATGCTCTGGTTTTCAAGGGACTTGTTAGTTAATTGCTATTAGATTTGCTTATAAATTGGTACCTTTGTCAGATTTTAGTGAATTATGCTGCATAATAAACATGTGCATGATAAATATGCTCTGAATCTCAGTGGCTTCCTGTATACATTTATTTTTTTCCTCGTGTAACATAAGGGTCACAGGTCTCTAGCAGGTCTGCCCTACATGGCCTCTCCCTTCCATGCTGAATGATCAGTTTCCTTCTGAGATATGCTTTTTGTTATGGATTGATTTGTAGCTCCACAAAATTCATATCGTAAGCCTTGACTCTTAGCATGTGACTTTATCTGGAGATATGTTCTCTAGAGAGGTAATCAAGTTAAGATGAGCTCATTAGAGTGGCCTTAATGCAGTATGACTTATGTCCTGACTAAAAGGAAATTTGGAGACAGGTACCCAAGGGAGAATGCCATGTGAAGAGACACAGTGAGAAGATGGCCATCTACAAGTCAAAGAGAAGGACCCAGAACAGATCCTTCCTTCATCCTCCTTAGAAGGAACCAACCTTACTCACACCTTGATCTTGGACTTCTGCCTTCAGAACCATGAGACAATGAATTTCTGTTTAAGACATGCAGTTTGTGGTACTTTTTACAGAAGTCTTAGAAAACTAAGACAATCATCTTGTAAGGGCAATGCAGGAGCAAAATGCCCAGCCAAGCCAGTCATGTTTAAAGTGTCTTCTAATTGGATAGGGCATATCCACTCACAGTCTATTGGTCAGTGCAAGTCACATGATCAAGGTTTGGAGGTATGCTCTTTCCTGTGGGGTGGGATACAAGGGGAGTGAATATTTGCAAAATATATTTCAATCCACTCCAATTAGACATACCAGCCTTGCTAATGTCAGAAGACTAGAGGACAGTCTAGCCCTCTTGGATTCCCCTTGTCTCCAGAAGTTGACTATTCAAACCTATGTGTTGGCTTGAAGAGAATACTCCCGTCTCCCTTGCCTTACCTGCCAACTTGACCGTGGTCATTCCGTTTATGTTGATATGATTCATGGGTTTGCGAGTTTACAACAAAATATCTGGATAGAACAGTCCAGCTAATTACCCATTTCATGCACGTGTCCTTACTCTCCCACTGCTGCAGAAGATCTCCAAGCTTGGCTCTGATTTCTCAAGAAGGAAAGAGCTTACTCCCTCTGAGGTGGCCCATTCAACCACTGGCCAGACCAATAGAAAGCTCCTCCAAATACAGAACTGAGCAATTTCACGTTTGGGGTCTGTCAGGCTTTTACGCGGTCCTCAAATCGTGTAGAGTTGACAAAAGGCCTCTCGAACTTTGAATCAGGCACACATGTAAATAAAATCCTTGTTTAGGGGCGCCTGGGTGGCGCAGTCGGTTAAGCGTCCGACTTCAGCCAGGTCACGATCTCGCGGTGCGTGAGTTCGAGCCCCGCGTCAGGCTCTGGGCTGATGGCTCAGAGCCTGGAGCCTGGTTCCAATTCTGTGTCTCCCTCTCTCTCTGCCCCTCCCCCGTTCATGCTCTGTCTCTCTCTGTCCCAAAAATAAATAAACGTTGAAAAAAAAAATTAAAAAAAAAAATCCTTGTTTAGAAAAACACTCTGCTTCTTGTCATTTTTTGCTTTTATCTTCAGGCAGGACAATGTTATTAGGGGTCCCTCAGAACCACCTTGCCTAGATTCAGTGGGAATGAAGTACATTATATGTGCATGTTCCAGGTTTCACTAAGGAAAAATTTCAGTTTGAAGACATGATACCTGCAGCGAGTACGTTAATTTCATAAAGGTCCTTGACCTTAGTGTTATAGTTTCTTAGTGTATTACATTAAAAAAAATGAGGCCCACATTTTCTTCTTTTAATGATTTTTGACTTTGACTTTTTTTGATATTCATATTGCCATATTTGCTTCTTTTTTGATATAATTCTTTTTCTTGATTCTTCAATATTTGACCTTGTTTTGTTGTGCTTAGGTGTATTTTTTTTTAATGGAAAATAAATATTTGTAAGAGCAATTTTTTTTTGTCTTTTAACATGGAAAATTTTACCTGTTCACTCTGATTAGTGACAAATATTTGCTGTGCTTTAAATTTTTGTTTATTATTATCTGCCTACACATCTGACCTCCTGTTTCATTGCATGGTCAAGGAGATGGGATGATGGATAATAAGTGCATATTTTTATATGTAGTTATTTAATTAATTATCCCAATAATGTCTTGGCTCCCTCCAATTCTTTATAGCTATTGACTGAATTTAGAGCACTCTTCGACCAATCCAGGGCAGTGCTCTCTTACACATGGATTTGATTTTCTCTGGTCTTTTTTACTCTTGGTCCATTACCACCTGTCTACCTTTAATAAATTCCTCACCATTTTTGATTTCCTAATGATATTCTTTTTTGTGTTCCACTGCTATTGAGATTTTCTTTTTGTTAAAAAAAATTCTACATGTTATGGGAACTGAGTAAGAGGAAAAGAAGGTACATGTATACAGTCAGCTATGTTGCTCTAATTCTCCAAGATGTTATTTCTAAATGCTTTTGCTTTCAAGAGGGGAATGGTGGGGTGTGTGTATGTGAGGAGTGTGCGTGCGTGTGTGCGTGTGTGCGTGTATGAGTGTGTGTGTGCGTGTGTGTCTAATGTTTCCTCTGTTGCAAAAATTCTGGGTTCTGCTTCTCTTTTATCTTTTTTGTTCTTGAGGGGATGGGTGTGTTTTATTCTTTTCTCTTTATCTTCACTGGTTTTATTTAAAGTCAAATCAGTTGGCTTCCCCATATCCATTATAATAGATATTGTGCTCTCCTGCCCAGTCTGTTTAGGGGTGGGAGCTGGGGACCTACCTGTAGCATGATTAATTTTCATCACTGTGCTTTCAAAAATAAAATGCAGCTGATTATCATTAATTGTGTTGCCATTATAGTGAGGTATGGATAGTCAATCATCCACTGTGCCATTAACAGATACCGTTTTAGGGGAGTTAAAAAATCCTCAAAATTTAGGTCCACTGTCACACGTAAAGTCCCCACTCTGGACATTCTGAGCCGGCACTTATTAGAAGTGTTCTTAGGTTGCTGAGCAGTTCTGAGGATTGTTGTCATTTGAGTCATTTATGCCTGGAGTTGAAAGGGGCAGCTGTCTAAAACAAGCTCTCAAACTCGTCCATCTTATCAGAATCATCTAGGGAGGTTAAAAACATGCCTGGGTCTATTCCCAGAGATTTTGGTATAAGCAGTTTTGTGTGTAGCCTGGACACTGAGAGCTCTAAAAATTCCCAGGGTGTTGCTGCGAATTTGGAGGAGCACTGCTCTAAAACACCAGTAAGCAGAAGGTAGAACACCAGTATCATGCCTCAAAATAGATGGCAAATCTCACAACTGGGCAAAATCTCATCTAAAAATCCTCAGCCCGGGGCGCCTGGGTGGCTCAGTCGGTTAAGCGTCCAACTTCGGCTCAGGTCATGATCTCACAGTTCGTGAGTTCGAGCCCCGCATCAGGCTCTGTGCTGACAGCTCAGAGCCTGGAGCCTACTTCACATTCTGTGTCTCCCTCTCTCTGCCCCTTCCCTGCTCATGCTGTGTCTCTCTCTGTCTCAAAAATAAATATAAACATTAAAAAAAATAAAAAAATAATAATTAAAAAAATCCTCAGCCCGACTTTCAGATTGTTACCAGTGGGAACACAAAGCTCTCCCAGTGGGAAGGGGAGAGGAAATGGACCCCACCTCTCGGAGGGTGAAGCAGCATGCTTGCAGAAAGGGAAAGGAATGATGGAACAATCTTTGGAGACCATCTGCCACTAGAATATTCTTAAATAATTTTAGGAATGTATACCTTATTTCTCAATTAGACGACACTTACCTCAAATCCTGGGATGATGTATTTTCTTTTTTACTCTCTCACATAGTGCTCTGTACACAGCCTATACCCGACAAGTAGATATTGCTAAGCTGATATTAATGCAGTAAGTCCAAGGGTGAGCAAGTGTGGGAAGAGTAATTGACTTTTTCATCTGGGAGAGAATCCAAAAACAGAAGAAAAAGAGACAGAAATTTTCTTAGAGAACTATAAGTTTCCATGATGCGTCTTGACTTCCAGGGAATGAAACCTACCTTTAAATTTTCCTTCCTTTCTGCCCTCCCTTATTTCTTCCTTTTTATGCCTTGCTGGGTAACCTTAAATGACCTCCAGTTTCAGAGGAGAAGCGAGAGGAAGTGCTTCACCAGGCCTTGCCACCTCCCTGCGTTGCCATGACGACAGGAGGAGCTTGCTTCTGAGGCCCCAGCCTGCAGGCACTTCTTCTAAAAACCCAAGGCCTCCTTTGTTTTTCATCAATTCTGGATGCCAGCACTTGATTGCCACACAGCCTTTTCTTTGAATTATATTTTAAAGATTAATGGTGTGTGGAAGAACATTCAAGGTTTAGATTTCCATCAAGAGACTCATAAAATACGCATGTAAAATAGAACCGTGGCAACAGCATGGTTCTTGAGGATTTTAAAGTATGAATCTAAAGTTGCTTATAATCTGGATCTTTCTCTATTTCCCACTGAAATGGTCCAGCTTTTGAATCAGGTCTGTAGAGAGCCTTTGGTCTCGGAACTACGCATGCCCTTTAGTCACATATATGTTTTTTTTTTTTCTAGGCAGCCCTTTACCTTGTTTTTGGTGGGCAGTCATGGGTCATGCATGGTAAAAAAGTAAAGAGGCATCATGGGAAGTGATTGTCACAGCCCTGCCTTGTGGAAGAGAGCTGTTGGAATGTTGGGTTCCAATGGTTTTTGGGTTCCAATGGTTGGGTTCCAATCAGAAGGTTGTCTTGGTTTTCCCAAGAGATGTTTTGCTTTATCTTTAACTCAGAACAGATTTGGAATTTCTAATAAATTAGAATAGAACTGCTAATATATATTATATACGTATATATAATGAAACCTCTTGTCTGGGTTAAGAGTTGGGAGGCCTGCATTCTAGTCCTGGTTCTGCTACCGTCTTACTGTGGGCCCGCAGTTAAGTCTTGAACACTCATGGCCTCAATTTCTTCATCAGATGGCCTCCAAGGTCCTCCCCAGTTCTGATGCACCATGATGTTTTCAGAGCTTTTGTCTGTGCTCAACTCACCTCTGCCACCACCTTCCTTTCAACCGCCTTTTTGTTCTTTTCCTTTGAAATTAACTCTCATATTGGGTTTCAGTTAAGTTGGAAATGAATATATAGATCCTTTTTCTTCTTCTTTTCTGTCATGATAATTAACAGCTCTTGGACATGCATCTAAGAGTAAGCCTGGTTTTTGAGTAGAAGAATAGCAACAAATTGTGCCGAGGATAAGCCATCACGATTTCTTCTCACTGTTCTTTAAGTGTCTCAGTTTGATCCTGCCTCAGGGTCTTGGTACATCCTGTTCTTTGAGCCTAAGTGCTCTTCCCCTGGATCTGGTCCTGCCTCACTCTTTCTCATTATTCAGGTCTCAGCTGGAGTGTCCTTCACTCTCACCATCCGGGTGCTCACACTAGCAGATCACCTTAGTTATCTCTCTCTGAAATTATCACACTTATGTATTTTTAGTCAACATCTGCCTCCTCCTGGTGGAACCTTTGCCCCATGAGAGCCAGGACCTTGTCTGCCTCATTCACCTCCGAATCCCTAGCACCTGCAACAGTGTCTGGCCTTTGGTCAGAACTCCGTGTAGGCCTTGACTCTGTGTCCCTAACCACTCCCCTACAGTGCTGTTAGGAATGAGAAATACAGGCAGCTTCTGGAAGGAGGGTGAACTAGGTAGCATTAGATAATGGGTATATAGTCATCAAGCCGTTTGTCTTAAATCCTGACCCTGAAGATCCTGGCTGCCAAACCAGACTTGTCAAATGACTAACGGCTTTCGAGCAGAGATTTAATTTCTCTGGACCCCGTATTATGCATATTTTAAATTGATGAGCTGAATTACTAAAATTAATACCTCACATGTGTGGAGCCCTTTTTGCCCCCCGCCTTTTTTTTTTTTTTTTTTTTTTGGTCACAGGCACTGGCCCAGCATTTTTTTTTTTTTCAACGTTTATTTATTTTTGGGACAGAGAGAGACAGAGCATGAACGGGGGAGGGGCAGAGAGAGAGGGAGACACAGAATCGGAAACAGGCTCCAGGCTCTGAGCCATCAGCCCAGAGCCCGACGCGGGGCTCAAACTCCCGGACCGCGAGATCGTGACCTGGCTGAAGTCGGACGCTTAACCGACTGCGCCACCCAGGCGCCCCATGGCCCAGCATTTTATAGGCATTATCTCCTTCAGTCCGCATACTAGCACCGTGAAGTAGGGACTATGATGATCTCCATTTATAGAGGGGACCCAGGGCTGGATCCTGCCTGTGTTGGACAGCTCAGACAGACATAGCACAATACCATAGAAAGGGTGGCTGAAACAACAGGAATGTCTTACAGCTCTGGAGGTTGGAACCTCCATGATGTGGCAGCTCTATTCTCCTGAGGACTGTCTGGTTGGTTTCCAGATGGCCACCTTCAGTGTCCACACACGGCCTTTCTCTGTGTAACCACGTCCCTGGTGCCTCTTCTTCTTATAGGGACTTCGGTCATATTGAAATAGGGCCTCATTATGACCTCATTTAACCAGAATGACCTCCTTAAAGACCCTATCTCCAAATGCAGATACAGATACAGATACAGATGGGGGCTAGGGTTTCAGAACAAGAATGTTTGAGGGGGTACCATTCAGTGTATAACACTGCCCAAAGCCACTCGACTCATAAGTCATGGAGAGGTTATTTGAATCTAGATCCCCTCTCCATGCCCCTAACTATACTGCCATGAGGATTTGCCCTCCACCGTCATCCATGAAGGGTCAAGCTTGGAAAAGCTGGAGACCTCACCTCCACGTCTGCAAAGTGGATGCTGGGAAGGGAAGGGCAGGTGGCCGAAGACTGAGTGACCTCTCGGCACCACTTGTGGAAGTGCTGAGACTGGGTAATGAGATGCACACAGCCACGTCCTCTTACTCACAGGGTGTCTGACAGGAAAGTCGCCATTAACAGGAGTTACTGAGCACTGCAATTAGCCAGAAACCTCTCCCAACCTCTTCTAAAATCGTTGGAAGATGAATTCTACTCCAGTTCTCTCATGGATAAAGTGGCAGTTATCCAGGGACTTAAAAAGGCCAGGAAAGTTTGGAGAGGCAGAGCTGATAAGTGCACAAGGAGCTGTCTTCTCGGAGCCTGTCTCCTAGGTTGACAGAAGGAGCAAGCTGGGCCGCCAGGGCCCAGGGAATGAGATCTTCCAGTAAGGCCTGGTGGATGGCTGTGAGCCGCTGGGCGTCGCGAGGGTGGCTGGGCTGTCATGTGCCACCTGTTCAGTCTCATCCTCTGAGCAGCTACTGTGAACCAGGTGGCCTGTGAGGAGGCAGCGGTTTGTGTCCAGTTTAGCAGAGGAGCTTATGATCTAAATCATTGCTCATGCTCAGAGAGGTGCCTGCTCCTCCAGCAACATTGACTGAATACTCCGCACACTCAGATAATAATTTTAACTATATCAAGCCCCTTTCCTTCTTCTGCTCCCAACCACCCCCTTCCCCGCCACTCTTCCTCCCCCATCCCCTCCCTTTATCTTTACTGTATGGCAGGCCCTTGCTAGACATCGCCTGGTTCAAATCTCAGAAGATCCATATAATGATGCTATCACCATCATTTTTTACACAGAACCAGCCTACTGAACAGTCTCAAGTGGTTGGGTGTAAGGATGATGGTCCATTTTTCTTCAGCCTGTGCTGTGTTGAACATGCCTTCTCTGTTGGGCAGAAGGCTCTTGAATGACATCATGAGCACTTCTGTAGCTTCCTATTCACCCATGTCAAGCTTCCTATAGCTTCCTATTCTGTAGCTTCCTATACCGTCCCATGTCAAGCTCTTACGTTGTATCCTCCCAGCCCATGAATACCCATAAACCCATGATTCTATAATGAGATGCTTTATATTTAATACTATCGTAGATGGGAGTTATTGCCACATCATGCAATATGATGTCAATGAGTTGACTCTTAGGATTACTTTGCAAACACAGTGTTGAGGGTTTCACACAGGCTGGTCAAATGAGGGATGTACTGTAAGGTGGGGGGTTGTTGCATTGGCTGTTAATTGCGAGATGTAACTAGTAGCTTCTTGCACTCTGTCTTGTACTATTGTGACTAAGCTCATAAAGGAGCTTTGCTCCTTTCTTTGTACTTGGAGATACTTAGAAATATTCAAATCCTTTTCTCTGTGAGATGGATGTTTTTGCAAGATGAGGGCTCAGTTTACTTGGCACCATTGCTTTTCTTGATAGCTTGAGCATGAAAACAAGTCATTTAGGCAGGGGAGAAGAAGGATCAGGTCTCAGAAATTCAAATTAGTGATAATCCTCAGTAGATTGCTTAAATAGGGCCTCAAACAATTTTTTTTTTTTATTTTTTGGACTTCTCTGTTTGTTTTGTGAGTCTGATGGCCTTCTGGCTTTAATCAAAGTCTTGTCTGTTATGATGAGAAAATAAATGTCAGAAAAATTTAAATCTACTTAAACGCAAGATACTTAAGAGGATTATAACCCTTCTTTGGTTTCAGAAAAACTGGTTTTTCAAAAAAGTTTTTAGGCCAACTGCATTTTTAGGAAAATTAAAAACTAAACTGCATCAAAAATACTAAGCAACATAGCAAGTATTGAAACATAAACTATTTAATTCTGAAGTCAATATTCTAAAATTTCACAAGATATCAATTTTGCATACATTCATGTGTGTTTAAATATAGTTTGAAGATTGATATTCTGAAGCCTTAAAAGTCTACAATAGCCTTTAAAACATTTATTTAAATTACATTTAAACATTATTTGCTTTTCGGAATAAACATCATTTTTATGCCTAGAAAATACTTACTATGAAATTCTATCAAGAATCAGACTCGAGCTAATTATTGACATCAAAAGCCAACATAAATTACTAACTAAAATTCAAGAAGTGGGGTTCCTGGGTAGCTCAGTCGGATAAGTGTCAGACTTCAGCTCAGGTCATGATCTCTTGACTCTTTGGTTAGAGTCCTGCATTGGACCTTTTACTGTCAATGCAGACAGATTCTCTGGGCACCCTGCTCCATCCCTTCCCCACTTGTGTTCTCTGTCTCTCTCAAAA